TTCCCTTGCCTATCCCACACTGAGGAGCCAAGCACCTCACCATAAGCAGTCACCTCCGAGTTGTCTGAGCAGGAAAAACTGAAACCACGTATCATTGCTGGCACAGCTTTTACACCCAGAAGTTTTCACACACAATTGAAAAAAAAGAGCCTGTTTGATGACAAAACCCCTTCCACGTGTTTCCTGACTGAGTGTTTGGTCTTTATCTTGAAACCTTTTGGGTGCAAGCACACTTGAAACTTCCAGGACAAATCTCAATTTCCAAATAAAAAATCCTTTCCTTATTGAAAGCAAAAGATGTGAACAAACTTCCCATTTTAATTTATGGCAACAGCCACATAAGAATAGGCTTCATAAAACTTCAGGGAAAGCTTCTATTTAATGAGGATTTTAATGGACCATGCTGGAAAAAAAAAAAGAGCAGAATTCACCCCCTTTGCATCCCCTGGCTTACTGTACCTGCTCAATCCACTAGCACAGAAAAGCTGACTTAAAAACCCCAGGCGACTGGCAAAAAGGGTTCCTGCAGATGAAGTTTACCCTGCGCATTGCAGCAGTGTAAAAAAGCTAACTGCTTCCCAGCAGGAGCTGGTAAGGCAATTTCCAAAGGCTGCTTTCTCTAAGCTGTGTTGCAATGTGAGCACAGCCGTGTTCAGCCAGGGACTCCCACCCCAAGGCAGTCGATCCAGAGCTGTCCAATTCCTGATTCCCACCTTACCGGAGAGATTAAAAGGAGCGTTTCAAGTTTCCTGACCATGACTTCCCTCTCCGCTGCTTCACATCTCTCTGCAGGCCCCCTTTATTTCCCTCCATCCCTCCCTGGCAGCTGAGGATTACTGCCGAACTGGCGTCTCCCTCCTCTTCAGTCAGTTCGCGTGGCCACAACTCCCCGCCGGCAGTCCGTGGGGCCATCCCTCGCTGCTGTTTACAGACAGGAAAGACCGAGGTGTGTGACCCAGCTGGCCCCTATTAAAGATAATGTTATCACAGCTCCAATTGTTCCTGTCTACATCTGCTGGTGGGAGGAAATAATCAACTTGTCTGAGCTGGAACAGGGGATGTTGGAGAACTATGAATCAGAAAGCTGCTTGTGTCAGGAAACTTTGGCCATATGTTGCATTAATAAAAGATTTTTTTTTTCCATAGCTGTGCTAATAAACAGCAACTTATCGTTATTTCTCCCTACTTCTTCCTATTTGCATGGAAGCAAGAGGCAGGGTGTGGGGGAGGCGGTGTGGGGAAAGCGGTGTGGGGAAAGGCAGGGACCGACATGCAAAACCAGAGGTAAACCTTCCTGATACCTTGTACGCAACTGCAGCCATATGCAGCGTCTAACGCATACAAGACTGTCCTGGTTTCAGCTGGGATAGAGTTAATTTTCTTCTTAGTACAGACATTTCACAGGCATGGTCCATAGACTAAGGGAATGACACCTGTGTATTGCATTAAAGGATGGGAAGGGGGGTGGTGGTTAATGAGGATGTACTGGATAACACGGGACCTGAGCATGACGTAAATGGTATGGAATAAGGGGTGGATACTGTCCTGGTTTCAGCTGGGATAGAGTTAATTTTCTTCTTAGTACAGACATTTCACAGGCATGGTCCATAGACTAAGGGAATGACACCTGTGTATTGCATTAAAGGATGGGAAGGGGGGTGGTGGTTAATGAGGATGTACTGGATAACACGGGACCTGAGCATGACGTAAATGGTATGGAATAAGGGGTGGATACTGTCCTGGTTTCAGCTGGGATAGAGTTAATTTTCTTCTTAGTACAGACATTTCACAGGCATGGTCCATAGACTAAGGGAATGACACCTGTGTATTGCATTAAAGGATGGGAAGGGGGGTGGTGGTTAATGAGGATGTACTGGATAACACGGGACCTGAGCATGACGTAAATGGTATGGAATAAGGGGTGGATACTGTCCTGGTTTCAGCTGGGATAGAGTTAGCGAGCAGCTGTGTGGGGCTTAGTTGCTGGCTGGGGTTAAACCACGACAAAGACCTAAGCTGCAGTGAAAAAATGTAACTGCTAGCAAACAGGAAGCGCTGCAGGACCTACATGCCTGTCCTGAAGCGCTGAACTCTAAGCCAAGTCCTCAGAAAAACACACAGACTGAAAAACAATGGAGGCATCCTCCATACCGGCTTCCTACTGACCTACAGCAGGACCCGCTGTGGGGTCAGTTTGGCTGTGGTTGCAGGTGCTGGGAGTGCCCTTCGGCGCCGATCTTCAAGGATTTTTTTATTCTACACAGCAGCATTTCAGAGGAAAAATACTAGGATTATAACTGATCAAGTTGCAATGTTTTAACTAAAACACCATAAACTATGCTCCAAGGCATTGTACTCGCCTTGAGAAGGCTTGTCTTCTGTCCCGTTACTACCAGCATTACCTTTTTTAGTTTTAGCAGACTGGCTTCCTTTAAGCTGCAGTGCCTGAATTCATAGGTCTGTGCTCTCACATCTGGAAGTTCACCACCCTGGAGGTCATTTAAGCCCTTCCAAGTTATTTCTTCCATGACGCATTTTTATCATTAGCCCATTTTACTTAGTGTTTGAATACTGAATCAGGACATCAAAGAGGTGCTTATGAAGCTACAGCAGCTGTGAGCCTTACAAGAACAGAGGTGACACCCAGGCTCTTTGATTATGTCTCACTTCTTTGAGATTTTCAAATCTCTGGACCATCATCCAAACCAAGGATCCTGTAGGTTGTTACAGTGGTGTATTTAACACAACTTGTTTACTCCACTTTTGCAACTAGCCAGGAGCAGAGTCTGTTACTACTTCCCAACTGCACGGCAATGCTGTAAGCTAACTCACTCTCCTGCGGTTGATTAGAAGTGCAAAAACATCTCTCAACACTGGTTATTTGCTAACTGTAATACCCAATTGGTCTACACAATATCCTGTTTCGCTTATTGACGGCTTTATCGTTTTCTCCTATGAGAAACAAGCCATGGACTAGAAGACTCTGAAGTGCAACTTTTTGCAGTGGAAGTTCTTAAAGAAAGGGAGAGAACCCCATTCTGCGGTCCCCATGCTCTAACCAGCTCTCTAAGGATGCTGAAGGTTTTGGAGCTGCTTCCCTGTGACGAAGCTCCACATCGTTAAGTGCAGCTACCAAATATTCCTTCGTTGGCAAGACAGTGGGAACCTATCTCTGAAAAAGGCTGTTTAGGACAGTGACTGGTTGTACTGGGTTTGGCAGAGATAGAGTTAATTTTCTTCACAGCGGCCTGTATGGCACTGTGTTTTAAACTGGTGATAAAACCAGTATTGATCACACACCCACGTTATAGTTACTGCTGAACAGCGCTTGCACGGCGCCTGGGCCTTCTCTGCCTCTGAGGCTGCCCCTGCAGCCAGCGGCTGGGGGGGGACAGGGCCAGGACAGCTGAGCTCATCTGAGCGAGCGAGCGAGCGAGCTTAGCTGCCGGCTGGCGTCAGCCCAGCACAATGGTCTACAGGGTATCTTCCAAATTTGAGCTCAAGTTGCTGCTAAACACAGATTTAAAATCATGTTACAGGGTTAAAATTAGAAGTGAAAAATATGTTTTGCAACCATACCTGGTATACACCAGGTATTTCTGTTGTTCAGGTAAATGTCAAAGCTCTTTTTAAAAGTCTCCTTCCCATCTCTACACAGCCATAAGCAGACACTCTTCTAACATGGAAAGACATGGAGACAGTAAACTTATAACTACATTTAGCATATTTATGGCAATGTGACATTTTCAGTTGTGCAATTTAAAAGAAGGAAGCTCATTTCAGTATCGATGAATCCTGAGTTTTGACATTCCATTTTTTCCCCGTTCCATTTTTCCTTCCAGTTATTTCAGCTGTTTGAAGCTTTTCACATCCTTCAAGAAATATTTAAAATATGCTGACTGAATATGCCCTTTCCAACACTGGCACAGAAACAATTTCCCTAATTTATGGCTGAGAAGATGGCCAAGAGACATTCCCAATTTCCTACAAAAACGAGTGGACTATCTGCTAATCACACCATTAGCTAGGCCACATCATTACTTATGGCTATGACTGCTAAACGAGGCCTGGCTAGAGAAGATAGGAGCGCACTTGCCTTGAGTGAGAGCCACTTGCACAAACCCTTTGCCCACATGGTTCGTGTCACTGCTCTGGTAGCACAGGCGCTTCAGGGAAGGGGGTTACAGAAGCGTGTGCAGGGGGTGACCAACCTTCAGCAGCGAGGGGAACAGTCCTGTAAAGTCAGCTGCTATTCAGAGGAGCAACAGCGGGACCAGGGCTGAAGCCTTGTTTGCACTGTCAAAGGAAGTGAGCGTTGCAGACATGGGTTAAGGGTGGACAGGAAAAAGAGAAGTCATTTGATTTTGATGAGGGTGTGTTTGCTCTGAAACAAATATTGAAAGGCATATATAAAAGTCTGGCTGAGCTGCTTATTCACATTCTAAGTGAAATTTGAGTGCATAGTTTAACTACAGACAAGAATCATCTCAGAAATTTATATGAAAGCCTAGACATTCTCCTCACAATTATTATAAAACCTCAAACATAAGGAAGGAAAAATAGCCCAAAGCGTATTCTTCACAGGGTACTAAAGAGCCCATCAGGCTGGGCTGTCTCTCTTTAATAAATCCAGGTCTCTAAACAAAAAAATCAACGGGGGGAGGGGGGAGACGGAGAAGGAAAGCCTCAAAATAAACCCGTGTTATTCAAACACTGCTAGGTCCTAAATAAAACACAACAATACTGACCAAGCGAGACACAGAAGACCTGGCCTGGCTCCAGAACACAATAACCATTTGTCTTCTTTGCCAGAGGCAAGCAGCAGCTGGGGATGCCACTCAGGGGGATAAAATAGCACCACGCTACAGCTGGAGGATTACTCCCAGGAGCAATGCAATACATAAGAATAAAAGATGACAAGTTAGATGAATGCCCTTTGAGAACCTTTTCAGAAAGGACTAAGTGTTCTTTAGGAGAAGCAGGAAAATGAAGGATGCAAAAAACTGCCAACACAGTTTTGCCAAATTCACTTGAGAGTGAAAATGAAGCAACATCCAAAAGGCTTCATCTGAATCGGCCTGAAATCCTGCAAGGAAATGCTGGAGGGCAGATCCCAAAACAAGGGAGATGCCCACATGGTATTTTGTGAAAACAGAGTATTTTCCTAAGAGTGAATGGGAACCCTTTGAAACACACCCCAGAGTTTGCAGGATGATTATACACACTGCAATGGGAACTTCAGAGTGACAGAAAACGTTTCCAGCATTTCATAACATAGCAGGGGAAAGAAGCGGAGCCAGCAAGTGGTCGGTGGGTATTTAATTATTTATTTATTAATAATACCTGCTTTAAAATTAGTGTGGTAATACTACCTGTAAACCTGCTCCATAGCAAAATCAACCTTTTGGGGAAAGGTATAAGACTGGAATCAAAACATAAAATCCTTCCCAACACTACATGCTCTGTAACATAACAAACATTGTTGTGTTTCCTACACTCACCATGTGGCTGCTTCAATAAGAATATACTAAGTGAAAGCAGAAGTGTAGGTGCCTCAGAAATATACCCTTGTGGTAATATAATCAAACATGCAAAAAGGACCGGACCAGCAATAGAGGAAGCTTTTCTACTGCGGGGTGCGGGAGCTAAAGCGGAAGAGACTTCTCAAGTCCAAATGGGAGGGAAGGGAGAAAAAGGAGAACAAACGTCTATAGTGTGACATCAAGCTTTACACAAAGTAAATTACAGCCCTTTCTAAAACACCATTAAGTCAATATACGATAACTCTGCTAATGACATGGAATGGAAACAATTCCTTTTCTGCACCTTTCAAGGCTGCCAGGAAAAAAGAGAGCACTACAATGCTGGGAGGAACATGGTGACCAGCAACAAAAAACAGGCAAAAGGGCTTGATTTCCACCAAGAAAGCTAAACACAGCTGAAAGATCCAAGGCAACACAAGGATTCAGGTTCCCAGGTCACAGCTAAATTTATTCAGGTACCTAAACCTCCTAAGCGGTTAGTTTGAAACTCTTAGGTTACAGCCAAGCAAACAAGTTACCATAAGATAAAGTCTGTGGATTTGCAGCTCATCAACAACACTGAAGGCAGCTAGCAACCCTGCTTTCACCCAAGATGAACGGGCGGTATGGTAAAAGAGTATCAACACCTGAAAGGTGCTTTGCCCTAGAAGAGAGACAATGTTTAAGATGAGCAGCATACAAAATGGGTTAACTAGGGCCGATGGGATGAAAAGAAGAAAGGAAATGTATGGGCTGATTAGCAGGAAGACTTCCCGGCAGACAAACGTGTAGACCATGGAGCAATCTCCCACAGGAACTGGTGAAAGCCCCACCAGTTGGAGCTTTTTGAAAAAATTTACACCAAGCAATAAGAAAACACAGGAAAGAATCCTGCACTTCAGGGAAATGGAGCGTAGGTATTTCTGCATCTACAGAGCCCCCCTCCCCAATTCAACCAACCAGAAAAGCTTTATGCAGGTCTTTTTATAACTGGGTCCTTTCTTTGCTGCAGCAGCTTTGCTCCTGCTTGACACCAGCCACTGTGCAGGGGAATCAGGCCTGCCTCTTTCTGTAAGGCAACACCAGTTCTGCGACTGCAGGCTGCCCAGCTCCGAGCTCTGGGCTGCCTGCTGTCAGCTCTGGACCATGCCAGCCTGCAAGACGCGAAACTAAGAGCAAGAAAAACTACCTCCTGCATTTGAAAATTACTGACTTAATCCACTCTGCAGAGATTGCAGACATTTGCCATGTCCTTAACTGAGCAGGCTTGCAGGGTTAGTGTTCTGGGATATTAATATATTGCTTACTATAGACATGTGTCACTCAAGCTTTAACTAGAGCTTTCCAAATAATCTGCTCTGAAGTTTAACAAGCCCCTACACAGCTCAGCTCTGTGACATTCACAATACAGTAGACAGCAGTACACCTGAATACACTAATAATACAAAAAAGACCCTTTGTATTTAGAGTTCAGCCCATTAACTATTCTGTAGCAATACAGGGCTGAGTAACTAACTGCTGGTGTATTAGCTGTGACCTATAGCTATTTACAAAGGGACATGCCAATGTAAATGTATTTTCATAAGTGCTGTGTGCTATAACGTACACTGGGGTTCCAGGCACTTCCTTGTATCAACTACCAACAACCAAGATTTTTAAAAGTCCAGTTCATTTCACGAAAGGACAAGAGCCTCTCCCTTCTCACAGAAACTTAAAGTGACAGGTTTTGATATTTGGCAAGTTCATAGTCTCCACAGCATGTGCCCTTTGACACCAAACAGGCTACCAATGCAGTTAGGAAACGCCCTATGCAAACATAACTGATTTTATTTACTGTCTGATAAGAGCTTTCAGAGGCACCCTTGGCTCACCAGTAGCCAGGCACCAAAGATTACAGAACACACACTTCCACAGCACATCCTGAGTCAGGTGTTTCAACACTGTGGGCATCTACATCTGATAAAGACGCTGTAAGAGACGAATGTGGGTCATGGAAAGGATGCCCT